GCGGTGGCGGGCGGCAGTGATCTCCGCTCCACGTGGCAGTTCGGGGACTCAGAAGAGACCTTTGCCAGTGGCGGGGCCGAGAGAGTGTTTCACCGTTACGGCCGTGCTGGGGATTTCGCAGTGGAGGTGAAGCTCTACAATGAGGTCAGCTTTGTCCTGGTGCAGACGATGGTCACCGTGCGGGAGCTGGCGTGTGACCGCCCCATTGTGAGACTGGTGGAGCCGCCCTCCTCTGTCCCCAAATCCCGCACTAGCTACTTTGAGGCTAGCGTAGACCTGAAGGGGTGCACAGCTTACAGGGCCTTGTATCTCTGGGAGGTGTTTGACAGCCCCGGCTGTGAGCAACTGGAAGAGGCTGACCGGGTGTCCCTGCCGCACGTGGACATGTTCAGCCCATCACTCACGCTCCCCAAGCTCTCACTGGTCATCGGCACCCACTGCCTGCGCTTCACTGTCTCTCTCCAGCACACCCCTCTAGCCCGGACACTTTCCCGGCTCATCGCTGTCCTCCCCAGCAAGCTGGTGCCCATCATCCAAGGCGGGTCGTGGAGGAGCTGGTCTGCCCACCGGGACCTGGTTCTGGATGGCAGCGGGTCATACGACCCTGATGTGGGGACAGACGCGGACCCCTCCCTGGAGTACCACTGGGGCTGGGAGGTAACACCAGGAAACCAGCAGGAGTGGCCGTCAGCACTCACCCGGGCAGTCACTGTGGGGGGGCTGGGGCTCAGGGTGCCGTGGGGCAGCAAGGACTGGCTCGAGTCCAGAGGAGGGGAGGTGCCTCTTTTGAAAGGTGCAGAGCTTCCCCCCACCCTCCGTTTTGCAGCTGCTCCCTACTTCATCCCATGCCCGCCCTCACTGCTCACTCCATTAACTCACTCAAGCTCATTATATTATATCTACCCAGATCTCTGCTCTTACAGGATGGCTTTTACCTGTGCTCCGGGACTACCTGCTACAGGGATTTTTGTAGTGTAGACACACTTTACCTAGAATTAGGGCCCTGCCAAATTCACAGCAATGTACAAATCTAGTCTCCCTCGGTGAAAGGGTTTTTGTGTGCTTGTACTGTATACCAGTGTTTCTCAATCTTTTTTTATAAAGTACCCTTTTAAAAAAAAATAAGTACCCCCTGTACCTACAGTTTTCAGGCACAAAACATTTTTTTCTACCATTGCAACCCATTTGTTTAAACAACTTAATCATAGCTGGGCGGGTGATGACATTTTTGGGTGTAAAAAGTACAACAATAATAAAGCGCTGTAAAACTTAAAACAAACTCCCCCCTCCCCCCGACTTCTCTCGAGTATCCCTAAGGGTGCTCATACCACTGGTTGAAGAACACTGCCGTATACTATAGAGATCTCACAGGGGATCCCAGCATTCCTCACATTCAGGGTCCTGACCCAAAGGGGAACTGCAGGGGGATCACAAAGTTAATGTAGGGAAGTTGCCGTTCTTATTTTTGTGCTGCCTTCAGAGCTGGGCAGCAGGAGAGCGGCATCTGTTGGCCAGGCCCTTTCTCTCAGAAGGCAGCGTCCCCGCAGCAGCAGCACAGGACTAAGGATGGTGAGACCATCCCATGCCATCCTCCCTTCTGCTCTCAGCCGGCAGCCACCACTCTCCCGCTGCCCAGCTCTGGAGACAGCACCGCCCCCAGCAGCAGTGCAGAAAACGGGCGGAATAACCACGAACCCCCTTACGATAATCTTGTGACCTCCCCACATCCACTTCTTGGGCCAGGATCACGTACAGTGACACCACAGCATGTCAGGTTTCAATACCTGAAAGCGTGAGATTCCGGGTAGCCGGATGCCCGCAGACCATGGGTGTGGCCAAGTCCGTCCCCCCTCTCCAGAGTGGGACTGGGCCAGGGACAGAGATAGCCCCGGAGTGAGTTAACCAGATCTCTGTCCCCCCTCTCCAGAGATAGATATAGCCCCGGAGTGAGTTAACCAGATCTCTCTGTCTCCTGCTCAGAACGTGTCCACGCCCTGGTGTGCGCCCCCTCCCCTGCAGAGCGGTGCCAGCATCACCATTCCCCGCACGGGGCTCTGCACAGGGGCTGGCTACCGCTTCATTCTGCCAGCCTCTGTGGCCCAGACGGTGAGTGGGAAAGGGCAGCTCGGGGAAGGAGGCCAAGGGACAGACCCCCAGTCTCACTGGGCATGGAGCTAGCACACAAGGAGGCAGATGCTGCCTTCTCAGTGTGGGGCACCTGTGACCCCTCACTAAGCCTTGGGGCAGCACAAGGCCGGGAGGAAGAGCTTGGAAACAGTGCGTCTGCTGCTGGTCCATGTGGTGTCAGTGCCGGGCAGATACCAGCCAGGGTCTGTGTGCTTGTGCTGCCAGGCCTGCCCCCAATCCCAGAGCACGGGCCTCGTGTCTCCCTCTTTGGGTGCCAGGCACCTTCCCCTATTGCCCAGGGCTCATTCCCCCGTGTGTCAGGCTTGTCCCCTCTCTTGCATCGAGGCTGCTCTAGTTCCACAGGGGTGTTTTCCAGGGCGGTTTGAATCTGATCCTGCCCTCTGCCTGCAGGTTTGGATCCAGCCCAGCCAGATCCTGCCCGTGGCCATTGAGTGCCGTTCCTGCAGTGCCCTGTCGAGCTACGAGATCAGCAGGAGCATCCACGTCAAGCTGGCCGGGCAGTGCCGGAGCTGTGGCAACAGGACCGTGGTGAGGCAGGAAGTGCCCAGCCCGAGCCACTTGCATTTAGCTCCCGCGCCCAGCCCCTGCCGCTTGGAAGGAGGCTTGACTTGAACACGCACCCAGCGGAGAGACTCCCTGCCCTCCACGTGCTCCTCTCCCCTGCCCCTGCTCGTCCCACATGTTGCCCACAAGGTCTGGGGCTCGTGGTGCTGCTTGGCCCCACAAGTTGCCCACAAGGTCTGGGGCTCGTGGTGCTGCTTGGGGCTTACACCTGCGAGTGCCCCTGTGCAGACCGGACTAGCTGGCTGGGGTGGGACCTCAGCTGGGCCGTGGCGCTTGACGGGATGTGGGCTCTGCCTGCCTGTAGTCTGTGCGCCCCGGTGCCTGAGGAACGGCGGTGTTACTGGAGAAGGGGGGCTGGGCAGTGGCTCAGCGGGTGAAGGGTGTAGAGTGGCTAGTGCTGGAGACCAGGAGACTGGACTCCTAGGTTCCAATCCTGACTCTCTGGGCGACCTCGGTCAAGTCAGTAAACCACTCTGTGCCTCAGTTTCCCCTCTGTGATGGCAGGGATAATGTTGCTTTATTGTGCCAGCAGGGTGCTGCTTGGCTCTGTGCATTGGGATTTGTCAGGTCTAGGAAGGGCTTGGATGGCAGGTCCTACAGAAGGGACAGCCTGATTCTCTGCTCCCTTCTCCCATGCCAGCCCAGCTGGTATGTCTGCGCCCCGCTGCTGGGCTGCTCTCTCACCATGTCTCCCTCTCGGACCCTGGCAGTACAAGTGGACGGCTCAGAGTTCGGACGGACAACCTGTAACCCTGGACCATGTGACCACCTCCACCGGGGACTCGAACCGGGACCTGGTGATCCGACAAGGGGCCCTGCAGGACGGGGTGAATTACACTTTCACTCTCTCAGCCTCTGAGCCTGGAGGGGAGCTGCAGGGGGCATCCAGCATCTCTCTGACCCCCAACAACCCGCCCAGGGGAGGGGTCTGCACCCTGACACCCGAACACAACCTCTACCTCCTGGAGACCCCGGTCTCCTACCAGTGCACAGGTAACTCTGCCAGGACGTCCTGTGGGCAGCTGCCCCACACTCCCAGGGCAGAAGTTGATCATGTGGACACCAGAGAGTCCACAGTGCCAGCAACAAAGGAGAAACTCCCTGCCCAGTGCTAGGTATATGGGAGGGTGAGAGGGACGTTCAATCTCTGTCTTCCCACCCTGTGCCCTGATCCCAAGCCCCACGGGGTGGAAGGAGCTGGACATGCTGACGATGCGCCTGGCCTGGCCGGTGCTGTGACAGTGGCCACAGGGCTGGCCCACAACATTTTGGCACCTGAGGCGAGGAGCTCAAATGACACCCCCATGCCCCCTCTCTTGGGCCAAAGCTTTGAAAGGTCTCAATTCTGCCTTCTTCCTGTTCTACTCCTCTCATGGCACTTCCCCCTCTCTGTGCATCTAGAGCAGAGAGAATACATCTGCACCAGCAGCAGGCACAGTTTTCTACGCTCTGGGTCCTAGTGGCGCCCCCCCACAGTCTGGCACCTGAGGCAGCTGCCTCAGTTGGCCTCATGGTGAGGCCAGCCCTGGGTGGCCAGGCGTGGATCTGGCCTGTCTGCGTACCAGGATTGGGGATGTGGTTTACAAGGGCTCTCAGGGCCTAGGGAGTTGACAGCATCTCTGGGGCAGGCTGCTCTTGCCCATTTCAAGCCAGGCGATTATGACATGCTCTGTGTTGCAGCAGTTGCTAACGTATGTTGCAGAGACTGATACAGCCCGGGAATACAGGCAGGCCTGAGGCTGAGGGCCCTGCCAAGCAGGGGGAGGAATCGATTGGACTGCGGGTTGGGTGATTTGGCAGGTCGCACGTGCAGCTGGGCCCTGAAGGAACCCAAGAGGCAGTGACTGGGTGGGTGATCCTGTTCTGGACTCAGCTGAGTCACACTCCTGCTCCATCCGCGTCTCCCTTCCTTGCTCTCTCAGGCTGGAGGGATGATGATAGCAGCCCGGTGCAGCTGATTTACACGCTGACTGCTGAAAGGTGCTCTCCCGAGGGCAGGCACTGCCAGGCCTTCACCCTCTACCGAGGGATCCAGTCCTCCTTCAGCATCTTCCTCCCTGCGGCCACCAGCGGCAGCCTCTCCACTGTCCACGTCCTGGTAGAGCTGGAGGACTCGCAGGGGGCGAAGACGCTGGCCCTGAACCGGTGAGCATAGGCACAGCCAGGATGGGCGAGCCCGAGGGAATGCGGCTGGGCCTGTGTTGGCACGCACGGGCGTCCTAGAAACAGAAAGATCAGAGGCAGCCAAGAGTGTCTCTGGACTCTGCTTGGGACTCCAAAGTGGTCTGGTTCCACTGCTCAGTCCGAAGTGCCCGCTGATCCCCAGCTGCTGGGAGGAACAGAGCCCTTGGAATTCACTGGGATAACTCTCCTTCCTTCCTTCCTTCCTTCCTAGGACCCTGACTCTGGTCATGCCAGTGCTTCCAGGGGACTTCCTGTCTGTCACCAGCTGGCTGAAGAACAAGAGCCAATCAGAACTGTGGGGTGTGGTCCAGCAGGGCAACCCCCAAGAGGTGATCCCATACTCCCTGGCCCTCATCACGGTGCTGAATCAGGTGAGGGGTCAGCTGTGGTGGCCATTGTCTCCCTGGCATGTGCACACGCTCATGATCTTGCACACTTGTGTGTCTCCGTGCATTCGCGCGTGTGCCCCCTCTCCCGGCAGACGTGCCTCGCTCACGAATGCCCCTGTGTGTGTGCTCCAGCACTCGGGCAGCCAGGGTGAGGAGGAGCTGAGGGACCGAATCGGCATCCGCAACAACGTCACCGCAGCACTGGCCTCCCTCCGTGTCTCCAGCGTGAAGGAGGTTGCCCAGCTGAGTGCGGCGCTGCAGCCGTGTGTGGTAGGACCCTGCTCTCCCCTCTCTTCCCCCTGGCCTAGGTGCACAGTCTGGGCACTCCCCTGGTGGCAGACGAACTCCTTGCTCCTCCACCGGAGGCCCTCGCTGGGTGCCTCCATTTTCCCACACACCAGATTGGTGGGTGTGACTAAGCCCCAGGATCCGCCAGGCCCTGTGCTCGCAAAGAGACTGAGCACCCCTAGCTGCTGGCCATGGGGCTCTGTTGGAAGAGCTTAGCCTCCACTGGGACAGTTGCCTAAGGAATGGGCGGGTAGGGAATTGGTGAGCCCCATGCCCCCCAGACTCCTCCCACTGGGGCGAGAGAGCAGGGGCAGGAGAAGAGGGACAGGAGCATCCTACAGCGATGGCTCCTGCTGCCCAGGTCAGTGCAGAGCCGGGGAGAGGCCCGGAGGCAGGGAAGTGAGCGTGTGCAGGGAGGAGTGGAGTGGAGCCAGGAGGCTGGCAGATCTCGGCTGGCTGCGATGGCGAGGGAGTCGGGAGAGTGAGGTCTGCAGGTTACGGCCGTGATGGGGGAAGAGTGAGGAGGGGAAGGCTGAGGCAGGGAGGGCAGATCTGCTGGAATCCCTCCCCTTTCCCAACGTAGGCATTCCCAGGAGAGCTCAGCCCCGAAAGCCAGGCCAGGATCCTGGCAGCAGCCCAGCGAATGATCGACGTCATCAGCACGGAGACGGAGGAAGGTCACGAGACGCCCACCTCTGCCGGCAGCAGCATCCTGGGGATTCTGGGTAAGCCACAAGCCATCTCAGCATTATAGGAAGGGTCTGGGGGGGTGGGAGGCAGCAGGGCCGTACTCCTGGGAGCTGCAATCCAGGACTCTACCCTCCTGCCCCGGTGGCTGGGGCAGCTCTCTGGCTCGGCAGCTAGTGGCAGCTCAGCTCCAAGGCCACGCTCTGGCGCAGCGATTCTGGGTGCTGCACATGGGGCCTTGGAGACACGGCTCCCTGGGCCTGTCGTTCCCAGCAGCATTGCCAGCCCGAGGTGAAGTCTGACATGAAGGGGCTCTGTGCTCTGGGTGGGGCCATTGCCCTAACGAGGGGAGATCTGAGGATGGGTGGGGTTTGGGGGGAGGTGGGGAAGCAGCAGGACTCTAACCGAAACCTGTGAAATCTTTCCCAGGGAGCATGTTATCAGCACTGGACATGGCCCCCCACCTGCCTGTGTCTGGGGCCCTGGGTCTTAGCACAGCCTTGAGCGCCTTCCACCTCACCCGGGCCCTGATGAAGTCCCTGATGAGGTCCCGGGTCCTGAATGAGGAGACCTTGTCGCTGTCTGTTTCGGAGATCCGCACGCAGGGCAAGAGGGCCGACTCCCCCAACCTGCTGTGCCTGGTGCCCTCTGAGCGATGCCTCTTCTCTGTGCCCAGTGCGGTGGCAGGGCAGCTGGCGGGGAGCCAGGAGGTGGTGCAGGTGCTCATGGACATCTCCGTCAACCCCTTCCCATTCAATTACTACGCCAACTCCTCCATCTCCACCCGCCTGGCGCTGCTGGAGTTCACCACTCCCGGAGGGGCTCCCATCCCAGTCTCCAGCCTGTCCGGGGAGCAGGCTATCGGGCTGAGGCTGCCGACCGGGCAGCAGGAGCAGCGGCGCTCCCCTCCAACGCTCATCCTCATCCCTCCTGGGGAGTCGGTGACTTTCACAGTGAGGGCTTCGGCGGGGAGCCGGGCCGAGGGGGTGCACATCCACATTGGCGTCACCGTGCAGGAGGGTGAGTCGTTAGCAGGAGACAGAGCTGCTCTGGGTCTGCGATGGGCAGAGGTTAGCTCAGCGGGGTGGGGCCAGTTTGATGCCGATTAACACTGGGGTTCCCTCTCCCACTTGCATAGAGACACCATGACCCTCAGCTATGGCACGAGGGCTCTAGGGATACAAGGGATGTAGCCCTCTGCTGCCCGGGTCAGCAGAGACTCTCCAGGAGCTGCCCTAGGACATGCAGGTCCCTTCTGTAGGCCAGCCAGTAGGGGGCGATGTAGCCACCACCTCTGGAGCAAGCCTGATTCCATCGGTGGAGGGCAGTGGTACCCCAGTTCACCCATGTGCACACCGTCAGGAACGGAGGGCTTGGCTGCTCTCTCTGCATGGCAAAGCCAGGATTCTCATCTCCCAAAGGACGCCACGTAGCCCCTGCCGATCAGTCCCTGTCCTGCTGCTGCTGTGCCCCTGTGAAGCCCAGATTCCCCAGTTCCAGGTGGTGAACTGCCAGCCCTGGCCGGATGTTGCAAACTCCCGGGGAGTGACCATCCGTCTCCTTACAGGTTTTGACCCCAGCGAGGAGACCGAGCCCTCCATCCGTTTCTATGGACACTACGTCCCTGCTCCCAGTGAGTTCCACTATGCCTGGAAGGAAGAAATGATCTTTGACAGCCTGCAAGCAGGCAGCGACAGGGAGGTCACCCTCTTGCTTTCATCTCCGTAGGTATCCGTTCACCCAGGGCGCTGGGGCTTGCAGGTTTCTTCTGGCAGCCTTGCTCCCTGGTGTAGGTATCCGTTCACCCAGAGCGCTGGGCTTGCAGGTTTCTTCTGGCAGCCTTGCTCCCTGGGGTCTGAGGGCTCCACTTGCCTTAAGGGGGTGGAGGGAGAATAATCGGTGTCAATGAGAAACACACCTCCTGTGCTCATCACCCCGGCAGTGTGTCTCCCCCACATAGCATCAGAGCCTGCCCGGGTGAGGAGCACATGGGTGTGGTGACAGCCAAGGGCAGCAAAGAGACTCCATTTCCTGTGCCAGACACTGCTTTGTTTGAGATCTTCCCTCTCCGGGAAGGACTGGCAGGGTATTTGGGAACTGGGGCACATGGGAACATCCATAGCTCTTGACCACAATAGGGCCACACCCTAGGTGCACACAGCTGTGATGTCACTTTGCTTGAGTTGCATGGTGCAACCCTCTTTTCACCAGCTCTGTAGAGCTTCAGGACAGGGTCTAAGGGGCCTTGTGCAAAGTCGGGTGTGTGGGCAGGGCAGCCGGAGGAGGCAGATGCCTACAAACACTGCGGTACATTTGGTGCAGAGCGGGGACCAGTCAGGGCCTGACATCACTGCAGGGAGACATCAGCAAGGCTTGGAGGAGATCCGAGGGCTGCCCATGGGCGCTTGGGCAGGACTGGGGGACATTGGGAGCTGGCTCAGGGTTTGATTGGGGGCTTTCCATGTGGTGTATGTGGGAGTGGGGAAGTGCAGGATGGGAGTCCAAAGTCTGGCTCCCCATGTTAATGTCACTAGCCAGGCCCACAGGCTACGGAGCTCAGCTGCATGCAGGCAGGGAAAGCGCGGTCCTGGCATGAGGCCAGTGTGGAACCCCCGGAAGCCCCACACATAGAGCATGGCTGGGACCGGCCCTGCTTGTGGGACTTGCCTGGTTGCAGCCCAGTGTCCCAGCTGAACCCCACCCGGGAAATCAGTGTTGTGCCTCATCACGTTCCTCTTGCCGCTTGTTAGGTACACTGCCCTTTGCTCCCTGTCCTCAGCTGTACGCCTTTTGGCCTCCGCAGCAGCTGCCTTCTGCCCCAGCAGGGGCTGCATTGCACAGGTGTGCAAAGTGTGTCACTTGTAAGGGACGTTGGGTCTGGGGCTACTGAACCATAAGACCCCCCCCGTGCGGGCTCCTCTCCCTTCCAGCCACCGCTTCAACAGGACGCTCCACGAATATCACGTCAACATCACCAACAGCTTCTCCCAGGCATCTGCCAGCGCCGCGATCACCGTCTTTGCCAGCCTCTGCCAGTACTTCCACTTCCCCAGCATGCAGTGGAGCACCGAGGGGCTGAGCCCAACGGCCGCCACCAGCCAGAAGGAGATTGTGTGTCTGACCGAACATCTCACCGTCTTCGGAGCCAGTCTCTTTGTGCCACCGCACAGCATCCTCTTCCTGCCCCCGGTAAGCCCTGGGGCGGGCAAGGAGGAGATGGTTGGCTAATACCCCTGTCAGTGTAATTGCTACAGCCGGCGTCTTGGCCAACACCCAGGGGCCCCCAGAGCTAAAGCTGCGGCAGCTCGAGTGAATGAGCCAGGCTGGAGCTGTCATGGCTCTTATCGCCTGTGGCTACAGCGGGGCACATGGAACACGCGCTGGCTGGAGATGGCAGCAGTCGGAGACTCTGCGTGTGACACACCCATGGAAGGCAGTGGAGGCTTCCTGTGCAAAGAGCAGCACGAGCCGGGCTGTGCAAGCAGGAAGCCTGGTCTCTGCGCTGCATGCTTGATGATTAATTGAGCCTTATTGCATGCACCACCCTGCAGCTCTCTGCTGAGTCCCAGTGAGGAAGGACCTGGCTCACTGGGGTCTGTGCAGGTGAAATTCTCCCCGATGCAGAGGGGTGTTGACCAAGGAGATATACTTATGCCCTGATGTGAAGGTTTCAGGGGGATTTAAAAGGTGCAGAAGAGGCCGTAGTCTGTGACACCCCCACTCCGTGATGAATTTCCTCACCAAAGGGAGGGAGGGGGAAACAGGACCCCTTTGCAAAGGGATCAGCAGCTGGATCATGTCTAGGTCTGCCGTGTTTTCACCCCAGGACTGAAAATAAAGACCGATTCTGTTGCCACCAGGCTCAGGCTCAAAGTCGATCTAGCCTGGTCATTCTCTAACATTTCTTATTTGGCCCTGTCACCTGCTGAGACGTGTTCCTAGCTCTGTCTGGACAGCCACTCCAGCTGGAGGAGGGGAGGCATTTTAGGACCGGAGTTCCCCACTGTCCTATTCCTGAGAGCTGCTGTTTCCAGCAGGGAAATGAGCCGCTCTCTTGTGGTTAAAGGTAGGAACTTGGAGGAAATATTCCCTCCTGGCCCTTCACGGTTGTTTTCCTTTTAGTGCTCCCAGCACCCCAGATCTCCCTCACTCGGCGGTGGCCATCAGTCCACAGGATCCACAGTTCATTGATTTATCTGAAGGCATTCAGGTGCCCCATGGCCAAGGTGATGGGCTGTCAGGGCTGTTCCCCACTCTGTTTGCAGAAGGTGGGGGCCCACAAGAGTCCTTAAAAATATCTTGCCTCTATAGGCTTCTGCTTAAAAGCTCCCCAAGGCCACAGATTCCCTGGCCTTGGGAGGTAGCTGCCACTCCTAAGTGAAATAAGAGACCCCTTTCTTCTTGATCCCAGGAAGGTAACACTTGGGCTTCTTCCAGAGGGGTATCCCCAAGCTCTTTTACCACAAGAGAGCTTGGAAAAAAGAGAAAACAAACTGCAGTCTCTGGTAGCTGACTTCTCACTCGGAGGCATGCATACACAGACAGAGAAAAAACGGATATCTCTGGGCATGGCTTATCTAGTGAAGGACGGGGGGAGAAGCCCATGGATTTCACACTGAGAAGTTTTACCCAACAGCAAAATAAAGAAAAATACCCTGATCACAACTAAATATACATTTTCCCTCTACTCACGATCCGTGCTGATCCGTACCTCAAGGCCCAGTTCACTCCCATGTCCAATATTTTTTAGAGGCATGGTAATTCTGATTACTGCACCTGCTCCCTCCAGCCCTTAACTTAGACTTGCCACACACAAAGAGCAGGCAAGGTATCTATATGCAATTCGGATTTCAGCACTGTGTCCCATTGGTTCTTCTGGCCCCCTGCCAACACCCTTGCTAGCTACCCAAGTTTAACGCTGTAGTCACCGGGTGCTGGCCAGCTCTCCTCCTGTCCATCACATGGGCACATTGGAATTGCCATAGAGACAGAGGAAGTAGCACTGACACGTCCCACCTCTGGCATCTCCACTGGGGGGAAGGGCGGACAGCACCCGAGGGAGCCTCGCCTTCTGCTTACTTCTACCCTGGCCTGTGTTGGGGTTTCAGAGCCAGCATGGCAGGCAGGCTCCGCTGGTGGTGATTACCTGCTGCGTGCTCGTCGCCATCTACCTGGGGCTGGTGCTGATCGCCCACAAGCTGGATGACATTGACATCACCCGGGTGGGCATCATCCCTCGCTGTGGCCAGGCTGGGCGGTACAAGTACTGGGTAATGGTAAAGACTGGCTGGAAAAGAGGATCAGGTATGGCGGCAGGCACAAGCTGGCAGCCTGCTCTCCTTGAGGGACTGGTTGCAGGGGGTTGGGAGAAGCTGTGTCCCCAGCAGAGGGAGGCCCTGAGCTTAGAAAGCTTCCCGAGATCAGGGAATGCTCTGCATGCTCTCCAGCCCAGTGGCACAGGCTGGGACGGTCGTGCAGCATGAATTCCTCCTGCCCCAGGAGCCGGGGGCTGTCTCTGGAGGCAGGGCGGGTTTCCTTGGTGGAACTATGTGTGGTGAATGTAGGGAGATGGGAAAAAAAGGGGGAGCTCGGGGTGCAATGAAGTTGGAAACATTTCCGCACTGCCTGCTAGTATCTGCTCCTCGTCTGGGTAGCTAGACCAACGCCCCTCTCCCGCCCCAGTTCAGTGTCGCTTCTGGCAGCATCAAAATGTGGGCACTTAAAGGCAGAAACGGCACTTTGCTTCAGCTAGCGGCAGCCAAGTTGGGCTGTGGGAGGACAAGCTGGTGATTTCTGGGAAGGACCACAGAGGCGACATAAGCTATCGTGTTGCACGTCTCTTCTAGGTACCACCGCACACGTAGGGATCAGCTTATATGGGCTGAACAAAAGTGGCTCTCGCCACCTGGACAAGGGCTGGGCCTTCCAGAGAAACAACCAGGATATATTCCAGGTGGAGACTGATGCGAACCTGGGAGAGATCTGGAAGATCCGCATCTGGCACGATAACACTGGTATGGCCCAGCGCGGGGTTACGTCTCTGTAAGGAAATGCTGGGCATGCTGGGTTGCTTCCTGCTTTTCTGCTGCATCACTGCTCCAGCCCCTGAGTGTGGCAGGCTGCATTGGTGAGGCTGGCTGGCTGCAGGGCACCCTGAGTGCTGGTGTAGGATTTCAGGGCAGCGTATGCGCCGGCCGTGAGTTTCTTCACATTAGCTCTTTTGATCAAGACCTCAAGACAGGTTGCGGGGGGTTGGCAGGAGCTCGGTGAACGCCTGTGTTCTGGGGTCACTGGGACAAGTAGATTTTTTCCATGCCATTAAGATTTAATTAGTAGTGTTAATTTTCAGACTAGCCTTTATGTCCCAGGGTGAGATTTTGCAAAGTGACTACTAGAGATTTGGGGGGACCTTAAAAGAGCCTGAAGTTTGGAAGGGCAGAGCCCCCACCTTGTGAAATGGAGGTCCCCTGAAGGGGTCTCCAATTGGGTGTCCAAAGTCATAAGTCACTTCAAAAAAATCTTGGCCCCCTCTACTGGAAGGGGCCAGCTCCCCAGCTGGTGTAAATCAGAGTAGTTCTATGGACTTGGTGCTGTGCTGATTTCTACCAGCTAAGAGTGACTCCAGGAAAGTTTTTTGTTTACACTGAAGCCAGCACATTGAGAGTTAAAGCTGAAATCCTATCAACAGGCCCAGCTCCATAGGTGCTCCAGGGCTGGAACACTCACAGGGAAAACCTGGGGGTGCTGAGTACCCACCAGCAGCCCCCGGTCAGCTCCCCTCACTCCCCCATGCCACCTGCCAGTGGGCCCTGCAGATCAGCACCACCCCCACCCTCCAGGCACTTCCCGTTGTGGTGGAAGATTTTTGTTGCCGAAACTGGGCGTTTTTCCTGACCAAAGTGGCAGTGCAGCGTGCGTGCTCTCACTGTTTTGTCGCCAAAAGGCAGGATTTGGTGGCAAAACTTGGTAGTGTAGGCAAGGCCTAAGTTTCCAAGCACTTTTGGCCGAGGGGAACACAGCAGCACACACTGAGTAGTTTAGCCTCCGTACATCCATCCTGAGAACTACCACCCAGCTCCTGGAGCTCTGCCAAGTGCAGGAAGGACACAGACTCCTGCCTCTGGTGAGAAAGGGATGGAGACTAGAGGTCTCCTCTGGATCTGCTGCCATTGGAGGACAACTGAGCAAAGCAGTGAGCAGCAAGGATGTACATTCATGAGGAGCCTCAGGAAGGCAGTGATCTGAAGTACAGGTGCATCATTCTCTCCTCCTCTGTGTCCCCAGGGCTGGACCCTTCCTGGTACCTGCAGCACGTCATTGTCTGGGACAGACAGACAGACCATATGTATTTCTTCCTGGTGGACGACTGGCTGTCAGTGGAAAACGAGAAGAATGAAGGACTGGTGGAAAAGGAAGTCCTGGCTGCCTGTGAGTGCTGCCCCATGGGCTACGTTCCAGAGGGAGTCCAAAGCTTCCTTTAGCGTTATTACCGCAATAGCACTGAGGTCAGGAGCTGCTGTGCTAGGTGCTGCACAAACCCAGAGTACACCACCGTACCTGGTCTGACGATCTGACCGTGCAACTAGATGAGGCAGACCCAGGAAGGGGGGGAACAGAGGCACACAGAGGGGAAGTGACTTGTCCAAGGTAGCACAGCAGGTCAATGGAACCCAGGTCTCCTGCCCCCAGTCCGATGGCCTGGCCACTTGGCCACATGCCGAACATGAGGTTGGTGGACAGTTGTCAGGTGGTGATGACACTAGAAAGGGCGGCAGTGGGCACAGAGAGATGGTATCTTCAACAGTGCTCAGGCTGCTGTTGCCCAGACTACCTGGGGGTGTTCTCTAAGTATTGGTGGTGGGGGGACAAGGGGAGAAAGGACTCCCAGTGATGCTCAAGCAAGAAGGGAAGTGTTGGTGATGGCAGAGGTGACAGCCAGAGGGAGGAGGGGATAGACCTCCCAAGGAGGAAGAAAAGGGAATGCTGATCGTTTGCCTTATGCTGCTTCCAGGCCCACAGGAGCTGAAATGCTTCTCTCGGGTTTTCCCTGCCCAGCTGCGTCTTGGCTTCTCTGACTGGCACATGTGGCTCTCAGTCTGGGGCCGCTGTCCCCACAGCCGCTTCACCCGGGTGCAGAGGATTACCTGCTGCATGCTGGCTGTGTACCTCTTCCTGGCCACGTGTGTGCTCTGGTATGGAGCCGTCAGCACTGAGGGCAACAGGTGGGTCCCACTGCACCTCTTGTCTCTCATGGGTGGCTTTCATGCAAGGAGACAGAGAGGGGCAGAGGGAGGGATGGAAAGTAGCGAGTGAGGGAAGAGAGTGCTTGTGGATAAAGCCACTGGGGCTGGGATTTTCAAGTGAGTGCAGAGGAGTTGGGCACCCAACAGCCATTGGATCACAATGAGATTTAGATGTCGAACTCCTTTACGCGCCTTTGAAAATCCCAGCTTTGAGTGGTTATACAAGTGCTGAGGGAGTATCTGATGCTTTGGACTCAGGACTGGAGAGAGGCCATCTAGTCCAGATCCTTGCGCTGACGTAGGGCCAAGCAAACCTAGACCGTCCCAGACAGTTGTTTGTCTGACCTGCTCTTAAAGACCCAGTGATGGAGAGTCCCCAACCTCCTTTGGAAGCCTCTTCCAGGTCTGAATTACTCTTAACATTAGAAAGGTTGTTTGACCAAAATCTGCCTTGCTGCAGATTAAGCCCATTACTTCTTGTCCTACATTCAATGAAAAAAGAGAAAAGTTCATCACCATCCTCTTTATAACAACCCTTCACATATTTGAAGACAATCACCAGCTCCTCCCTCAGTTGTCTTTTCTCACGACTAAGCATGCCCAGGGTTTTTCACCTTTCCCCATAGCTGCGCAGTCTGAGTGTGCTGGCGCTGGTCCCAGAGGGGCCTATGCAAAATGTGCCCCCCACCTAGACATGAACATCCCAGTGTCCTGGAACTACTCTCTCTTAACACAGGACTCGAGCCACCACATTGTCCTCTGGCTTTGTTCTCTCCTGCAGTGTTCCCCTGGGGAGTCAGGCATCAGTGACAGCAGAAAGTATTGCCGTGGGGATGGTCGTGGCTTTAGTGGTCTTCCCAATACAACTTCTCTTCACCTTCATCTTCAGGAGAACTCGCAGTAAGGTACTGGCCACCCTCCACGTGCAACATCCAATGAGCCTCCTCTCCCCAGCTACATCATCCACCAAACCTGCTGCTACAATCCCACCAAGGTCCATCCGTCCCCTCCCTAAGGGACAGGAGTTTGGCATGATCAGAGTGAAGGACCTTGTATTGTCATTGTCATTGTCTCTACAGTGCCTGTTGTGTGCATACATATTAACAAGACATGCCAGCATCCAGGGCTGTCAGATCCCTTTTCACTAGCACTAAAGCCATTTAATCTTTTCAAGGACTCTCTCTGAATGTCGCCATCTATTTTACAGATGCTATGGAAAGACGAGGCTTAAATAGACAGCCAAAGAAGGTTGAAAATTAGTTTAAAAAAAAAGGCTGTCTTTTTTTTCTTTTTTTCAAAAAATTGTTTTTATAAAAGTTCACATTTAAAAAAAGTCTAAATCAAAATTAAGAATTCCTAAAATTTTGACCAGACTTACATATATGTACTTACAGGTGTTTTAAGAACAGGGTTATTAGTAGTATTAATAGTACTGTACTTAGGAATCTCTCTTGGTCCTGGACCGATTGTGTTAGGTGCTATACAAAAAGAGAATAAAAAAGCAGCCGCTGCCTTAAAGAACTTACAATCTGAGTATAATAATAGGAGAATTGGAAATTACGCAGAAGAAATTTTGCCATGAGTGCACAAAGCTACCAAGCACTTCCACATGATCTGACTTCCAGATGCTCAGTTAGGGTGTGTCTACACAGCACAGTTATTTCGGAATAATGACTGTTGTTCTGAAATAACTATGTGAGCATCTACACAGGAATTCCATTATTTCGAAATAATTTTGAAATAACAAACAGCTTCTTCTGATTTCTGTAAACCTCATTCTATGAGGAATAACGCCTATTCCAAAATAGCTATTTCAAAATAAGGTGTGTATAGATGCTCCACTTCTGCTATTTCGAAATAGTCCCTCACCAGGGCCTTTCCAAGTTATTCCTCCTGGGGCTCTAAATCGAGATAGCACTTCTACATTAGGGAAGCCTGCCCTGGACTAATTTTGAAGCTTCCCTGCAGTGTAGACGTGCTATTTCGAAATAAGCTATTTCAGAATAACTATTCCGGAATAGCTCATTCCGAAATAACCGTGCAGTGTAGACGTAGCCTTAGGGAGTAACAATAGTGCATAGCTCTTACACAGCACTTTTCATCACTAGCTCTCAAATCACTCCCACAATCTCTTTTGGAAGCCACGGATCATGCTCCATGTTTTACAGATGGGGAAACTGAGGCACGAGGAGGGGAAGGGACTTGCCCAAGGTCACCCAGCAGGCCCATGGCAAAGTCAGAAATAGAATCCATAGCTCCTGTGATCCAGTTCACTGTCTGTCACTTAGAGGCATTCTCTTGGACGCCAAACTGAAATTACACTATTTACTGTTAAGGTCCAGCTGTCTGAATCCTGCCTCTGTGCACATGGTGCTTTGTATGTGCTCACTGGGCCCTGGGCATACACTAGCATCTGCGTAAGCCAGGGAGAGATTCTAACCTATGAAAACTTCTTCCAGGAAGGGGAGTGCACCAGCACAAAGGGACTGGGTGGGAACCTGGTTGTAGACCAGGTGTGGGCAATTTTTGACTGGGGGCCACCCCAGAAGGGATGGGGCCTCAGGAGGAAGGGGCAGGGCCAAAATACTTCCATGCTTCCCTGCCCACAGATCCTCATTGGTCTGGGGGCTGGGGAGAGTGTGAAGTCTTTGCCCCCCTCCCCTCAGAGAGAACCACCAGTTCTGAACAGCTGTTGGTTCCCTCTAGGTGCTCCTGCCCCTGATGGTGGGAGGAGACTTCACATGCTCCCCTCTACCCCCTTGGTCAATCAGGGCTTGGGGGCTAGGGGGAGCACTGGAAGTTTTCTCCTGCCCTGTCCTGCAAGGAGCACATGCTGCGCCCCTGGCAGGGCGGGAAGGAGACATCTGGGCAGGGAGCATTCCTTGCTCCTCTTTCCAACAGGTGGTGGTAGAAGACCCCGACCCACCTGTGCAGGACGCTCAGACTGTGGAGATGGACGTGTGCCTTGAGCACTCGGACCTGGGCAGCTCCTCCTTCCTGTCTATCCCAGGGGGGCTGGAGTCCATCATGGACCAGAGCTCTGTTAGCTGTGTAAGTGAAAGGCTGTTCCATGGGCATCTCTGGGGGACCTTGGGAGAAAAGGATCCCATGTCCCTGGGGGGCGAGGGGCTCTGAGTGGGTGTTTGCGAGTGCGTGTGTGCTGGGCTCTGGAAAAGATGCCTCCTCTGAAAACTGAGCTCCCAGCTGATGGGTAATGAGCCAGGACTCCCTGGTTTGCAGTGGGATGGGTTTGCTCATGGTAGGACAGCACCATTTGCAGCCCAGGCCATCTTCCTTCCCCCCCCTCGCAGAGCCTTCAGCCCTGCTTTGCTTTGAGCCACCACAGCCCAGATAGAAACCATCTCCCCTACCAGAGGCAGGGCCCTGGCAGAGGGAAAGCCCCTCCCATTTCATCCTAAAGGCTTTATTTAACTCTTTTATTGCTGGACAAGAGTAACATGGGGCTGCAGTCTCAGCAGTGCCTCACCTCTTATTGGGTGATGCCCTTTGGCATCTTATTGGGTGATGCCACCTCTTAAGGATGCCCTTTGGTTTGCTGCAAGAGGGGCACGTTTCCTCTCAAGGGCAATGGTCATTTAGCTAAAGGGCTTCATGGAAGTCAAAGGGAAACCGCTATAATTCTGTACGGTGGGGGAGGGGGGTGCCAGGGGAACACCCTCCAGGACCCCCTCAGAGTTCATCTGCATCCCCCTCACCCCTTTCTTTTTAGGAGTCCCCCGGGAGCAGGAGGCCAGCGCCCACCAAGGAGACTCTCACTAACACGGGCACTGAACGGTACTTCTGCCACAAAGGGGGGTGGGCAAGGGGATGTGATCCCCTTAATCGAAGGAGATTCATGTCCACCCTGAATCGGCTCTTTATGGGGAAACTGGCTGCAGAGAGGCCAATGCAGGCAGGGTAGAGAGCTGCTGGGGTGACC